ACCATACTGCGTAGGAACACCTTTCTGATGCTGTCTACCACCATTAAAGACTTAAAATTGTAAGTCTGAATTACATTAAATTGTACAGAGGTTTCTACTTTTCGGGTCACTCTATGTGTCTGACTCATATAACCACAACAGGCAAGAAACAAAAGTAAATATGTAAACCATTACATGTAAGATTATTTAGTTCAGAAAAAAGAGCCAGCTGGTTGGACTTCTAGACACTAAGTCAGAGGCAACTGGATTTGCCATCTATCTAATTATAAAGAGGTGGAAAGTAATGAATTACAATTACTCACGTTACTGTAATTGAGTAGTTTTTTTAATCTGAAATTTTACTTTTACTTAAGTATGTTTTGTAAGTATTGTACTTCACTACATTTTCAATCACATCCGTTACAGAGTAAAAAAAAAAAAGCGCAAGGAAAAACTCACTACCACTTTGGCTTCAAGTGCAAGAGAACAGCTTTATCATGCACTGTAAGCTGTGAAAAATGCTGTATCACTTCCTGCTGCAGCAGCTTCACATTAAAAGCATTTAACTGGCAAAACACAAGGTGATTTTTAATTTGAAGTAGACACAGGAAATGCAATCTGTTTGTAAGTGAGATTAGCGCTTACCGTTCTCATTCTTCAAAAATGCGTCCACACAACAAGACAACCGTCATTTTCAACAGTTTTCTGACAGCGGACCAGTTTGAAATATTGCAGTGAGTAATGCAACAGTCCGGAGCAGACACAGTGAGCTGTAAGATAAAGAAATGCAGGCACAGGCTGCAGCCTGAAACCTCCACCTTCTCAGCCGGGTAACCAACTCCTATCACTTTCGCTGTTCACAGACTCATGTCGTGTACAGCATACAGTCAAATCATGACTGCTCACATAATTATGGAAAACTGCCCGACAATAGTTTTTTTAGATGCCCCAGATTTCTGTGCCCCGTGGTATTAAAAGGCATCAGCCGTTAGAACCAGTAACTACAGGTGTCTCATGCACAATAACGGCGCACCTGCATAATAACGTCAAAACCGGTTGATTAATATATCATGCCAAACAGAGTTACATGTATAATTACAGATTTTAACCATCACTCCTCCTTGGCTGCGGTCTGAGAGCATTTTCTAGATAAATAGGCCTATGTAGATTTATCATTAAGGATTTAGGCCTATGTTTTAAGAGTCTGTCCACACTGATATAAGATAATAAAAACGTTAAATTTGCGAAAGTTGAAAATATTAAACAAGCAATTATTTTAGCAAGTCCGGCCCCCACAGTGTCTGCTTAGAAAAATTTGTGCCCTTGACCAAATGTAGTTGAGGACTGCTGTTGTAGAGGTAAGTAAAATAATAACCTACATCCACTGGTGGTTAAAAATAAGTTTTCATAGTTTGGTAAGATGCTTTGCTCCAAATAGCCAAAAAGACATCAGTGCATGACATTGTTGGTTGGCATAAGCAACTTGCTGCAACTAGTTATTTATTATACTAATACTGATATACCAATACAATTACCACCTGTTTGAATGTAAATAGGGATATGACTTCATATACAGGGCCAGTGTTTCCCGTTTTCCCAGTCCAGTGTGGCACGCCAGAAGCGAAAGTATTCACAAACTTCGCATTATAACATAAAATGTCATTGTTTTTTGCCATTGATTTGGCAAAGTATCTGTCAAACAAACTAAAATTCAAAGCGCCATATGGCTTTGTTCCCTTATTAAATTGCAAGAGACTGCTATTTATTAAATAAGTATAATACGTATAAATATGATATTAAATCATTATAAATAAGTTATTTTAGGAGGTTAAAAAAGTAATTAAGCAACTTTTACTCTGAGTAAATTTTAAATGAGCTACTTTTTACTTTTACTTGAGTAGATTTTTAAACCCATAATTTAACTTTAATTTACTCAAAAGTAATTGTACTTTAACTTAAGTAGAATATTTTTGTACTTTTTTCACCTCTGTAATTTTACATGTATATATGTAAAGTTAAAAGGTTAACTCTGCGTAATACCATGCACACACATACATCACCACACATCCAAACACTCACACACACAAAATGTTTACCCGTTAAGAATCAACTCACTTTTCTCCCTGCAGCTTGTTGGTTTTTACTATGAGATCTTGAGTTTGCTCCTTCACAGCCTGTTGAAGAAAAATTTGTGTTTTGAAAAGATGGCCATCAAAAATTAGTTTCTCAAAAGAATTGTAATAATTCAATGATATGAAGACTAACTTCATACATTTGATTTACACCATACTAATAATTTTAAAGGTTTCCAAACATCTTGCCAAAGGACTGCAATTGAAAATTATCCAGCTGGCTAACACCGGCACATTTTCAGCAATGTTGATTAATGTGTGTTGTCCTTATAAATAAATGAAATGAAATGAAATACCAAACAATACACAAATTTACCAACCTCTATTGCTGTTATGAGAAATTTTGCTTTAGTAAACCATTATTCTCAAACGACATGCTAGAATTACCATACCTTTAATCTACTGGTCATTTCTTCACAACATGTGCTCATGGCCTGGACATCCTCATTAACACTTTCGAGCTCCTGTGGAGAATGTGAAGTTACAGTTACAACAGCACTGAGGCAGATGTATCCCCTTACACACATACAAACATAGTAATCAATATTTATTTGAAGTACTGTACTGTTTAAACTACAGTTGTTTATCAGAACAAATATTGGGCCTGCTTGAATCACAGGCTTTCAGGTTCTTCACTACAGTCTTTGGTGATGTGATTGTTGCTGCTAAGAAGTTCTGTGCTGTTCAGCATCACTATCACAATTGTGTCTCTGGGAACTGAAAGTGTCTGTATTAGTCTAGTAACAAATATCCTCTGCTGGGAGAGACTAATCCATCCAGGCCCGTCTCTGTCATTCTCTAAAATATAGTTAACAACTAAGAGGTGTCCTTGTACAGAAGTTTTATTTAAGGGTAATACACTGTATTTCTTGCAAAACGCTAGGTTACCTCTTTTACTTCCTTAAATATTCGTGCAAAGTCCTCATTGATCGCCAGGCTTCGCCTCTCTATGTCACCGCGAAGATTTCTCCTGGTGCGCAAATTGTTGTCAGTGAAGAACACAGAGAGCGCCTTCAGAGCCTCCAGCATCTCCTGAAAGCACAAAAGGACATTATCATGTTAGTCAGTAGGGGTGTTCTGACAAATGCTGTATAATTGAGAATCTCTTCCCTCTGGACACAAACCATCGTAGCCAAAACTGCGTGGAATAAGCAATGACGGGGGTGCCATCGTTAGCTTGCGCTAAACCCCTGGTATATTGGAAAGGGGAACTGTTTCTTAACTACAAACTAGGAAACTAGGACCAGACACCCTCTATAAGGCCAAAGTTAAATCCCACACTGAATGACTGCAGCAACATGCTATCTGCTAAATTACTAAACAGTTTTTGGCGATTTTACTGTGCTTATATACAGTAACGGGGAGCAATAACGTTATCGTTTCCCCCGAAACAAGTAGCTGTGGGAGAATGACAATTTCACTAAAGGGAAGAATTATGTCCAGTTGTGACGCGACTAGCTTCCAGATTTAGCTACTGTTAGCTCGCTAGCTAGACGCTTAGCTCTTCCAATTTACCTTGTCATTGTCAAGCCTCGTCTCCAGTATTTTGTTAAGTTTCCTTGATAGCGGGTTATTTGGTTGAGAAGGCGCGTTTGGGTTCTGTATTACAGTTGACATTTCTACTTTAGTATCAGACATTGTACACAAACACCTCCACGTCAACTTTCGGAAAGCTGTTTTGGTCCGTGTGAAATAAACGTCCGGTCGGCATGTAGATCCCTGGAGGACAACGACACAACGTTCCGGTGCGCACTTTTATTTATTTTTGTTGAAATAAGATGTTGTTTGGGATGATGATAATAATGGCAATGTAATAAGTAATGGTATGGTGGTAATGTAATGTCACTCCTTCAAGAAATTGTGTTATTGTGTTAGGAAAATAGAGTGACAGCGCAGACAGCAATGCTGCATTCAAGTACAGTTGAAAATATTCCTCCCAGATATTTTTCCAACAATAAATGATTTATATCTTTAAAATGAAATAATTGCAACATGAAAAAAGAAACAATTTATTAATTACTATCATTTGCCATTCTTACCAATACAATTGGTAAATGCATTTGTTTTTATCATCCACATTTTTAACAGTTAAATGACATGTTTCTGCACAATAAAAAAAACAACAGTTTAACTATTTCCCAGTTGGACATGCCTGAGATTAGCAACTTATATTACCTGACAATCAACCTGGCTGACTATAAAAATGATTCCACATATTTTTCCTCATACTTTTGACCCAACAATCAAGTGTGTGTGTGTGTGTGAGTGTAGGAAATGTTTTTTTAGACCAATGAAATATCTGGATGTGCTGCTTATAAATCAACTAATTCTTCCAATTTACTTATTGATCTTCCATTAACATGTTGACTGGTATCTCAAGACGCAAAATAGTCCTACCAACGCAGACAAAACATACAAAAAAATAGGCTAATAAGAGAATAAACCTTAAAAACACAATGACATTGCATTTCACAATTTACCCCTCAAATAAGTAGTCTATCCATGTGAAAATGCTGTAGTAGCCTATCACTAACAAACATCTTGACTCAAGGAACTTTTTCAGTCGATTAGTCTTGTAAACGCAATATTTAGTCTCTGATCTCTAAAAGTTATTTCTGTGTTTCGAAATTACATGAAAATTAGATTGTAGATCGTTTTCCTTACGTTCATCGCAACAACAACTCAACTGAGTTTTACTATATTCGGGGCTGTTATTTCCAGATGTACTTTAGCAGTTTACGAGGCGTCCGTGAATACATCCGGAGCGTGTAGGGAATGATAGTAGCGGTGAGTCCAGCCCCTGGGTGGGGATTTGTGTGATTGATGGTCACCTCCCGAGAGTGTTTCATGGACTCGCCCCCTCAGCTCTCTCTCCCTCTCTCTCTCTCTCTCCCTCTCTGAGCAGGAATGTGAAACTACAGTCCAGTCAGTCTGCCGCACTTTTCTGCAGCACACAGGAGTGAATAATTTATCTTTGCCTCGGTTGAATATATTGATGAGGAGGAAGTGATTTGTGAAAGGATTCTGCGGTCACTTTTTGGATTTACATTCTGGTCGAACGCATTTCTTTTTCTTTTCCTCGGCTGAAGAAAAGTTTGCTTTGAGACCCAACACAGCTGGAGTCAGCAGATGGAAATAACCTCTCCGTGTACAGGGAGCGCACCGTATGCCGGAGAACTCCCAACATGTAAGCGTCCGTCTTCTTTTTCTTTTCCTTGTTTTCATTATTCACATTCCGACAGTGTCAGCGCAGCGATAAGACAGCGTGTTCCGTCAGGTCACCCCTAACGAAAAATCACTATTCCTGTAGCCTAGTGGTTGCTCTGAACTAAATGTCCAGTTTCCATTGGATTTGTGGTACTTAATGTGTAGGCTATTTCATATGGTATAGTCCTATAACATGCCGTGGGCTGCTTTGTTTGTAGTTTTGCTGTCGTGTGTGTATCATTTTAAAGTTTATTATCGGGAATGCTCTTGCTGTTTTGTAGAAGAGTCAACCTTGTTTAAATGTTTTCTTTGTATTTATACGTAATAATACCAGTTCGTCCAATGATAGGCAGCCTGTTAGGATATCCAAGTTGTTACACATGTTACTAGTTGTTTTATTAATACCTACATATTATGATAATAAAGGGAAAATCCATAAAGAAACAAAGTATGATGGAGTATAATCGTTGCCTTGCCTTATCTAACTTCAGTTGGTTATTTATTGACATGAGTCTGATAATTATTGGATTGTGTTTGCATATGTTTATGAATCAAATCATAACTGTGATGAATCTATTCTCAATTACTATAGCTCTTATTTAAACCATGTTCAGTTTAGTCTGCGTATCGGTTTTGATTATTTAATATCTGTGATTATAGCTGCATATATAATGACTGTGGAACTGTGATTTTGTTATTCCAAAAGCCAACAACTTGTCCCCAAATCCTACATCTGATTTTTCCTGTCAGCGCTCAGTCTGGATGTTTCTCTTCCTCCTGACAGGGACCCGGAGTCACTGAGAAGGTGAAGACTGCTAGTGTTAAATGCTGACCCCAAGGCTTCCCACAACACAGCGACTGCTCATAAAACTGGTGTTAGTTCAGTGAGTGTGTGAAACATTTGCAGACTATTTACCATGGCATCTAGTCTGACATGTACCGGTTTTATCTGGGCCCTACTGTCCCTGCTGTGTGCTGCTGCCTCCTGCGTTGGCTTCTTCATGCCCTACTGGCTGCTGGGGACACAGATGGAAAAGCCTGTGTCCTTTGGCACCTTTCGGCGCTGCTCCTACCCAGTGAGGGATGAGGAGAGGCAGGCCACGGTGATGCTGGAGCAGTGTGGGCGCTACGCCTCTTTCAACGGCATCCCCAGTCTGGAGTGGAGGATCTGCACGGTGGTGACGGGTGTGGGATGTGGCCTCCTCCTGCTGGTGGCACTCACAGCTCTCATGGGCTGCTGCATCTCAGACCTCATCTCACGTACAATTGGCCGCGTGGCCGGCGGCATCCAGTTTGTTGGAGGTGAGTTTATGTTTCTGTGACGTGTTTGTACCTGCAATCAACTTGGACCCAACCTTCACAAACTTTGCATCAAATTTAGTTTGAACTTGAAACAAAACCACATTGGGGAGTAAACAAGGAGGCATAGAAATCTTGATAACCATGAAAATTTCACTTCTGGCCGACTTTTCTTGGCCAACAAACTTGCTGTCAACCCAGAAAAGCTGTTGTTTTCCTCAGATACGCTGCTTCAGAAGAAGTGAAAGGTCTCCCAGTGAAATGTTGTTAATGGGACTCAACATCAATTTACATTTCTTAGTTCACCTTTGCTGTTAAAATACACAAGCTTGCACATTGCTGAGGACTGAGTGATGTTTTTGAAAGAATGTTTCAGAAAGTACCACATTTACAAACTGAAGTGTGTCATCAAGTGTGTTGTTGCCAAAGGTGTTTTGTGAATGGCTTCTGGTCATTTAAAGAAGTGGTATTATGCGTACCTTTATTGAGTTTATATGTTTTTTGTGCATGTACTAGGTTTGCAAAGTGAAAAAGCCCCAAGTCCACCCCAAAGGGAGTTCCCATCTCCCGCAGAAAACTCTGTCCTGAACTGCCTCATTTTGTTGTCCAGACGTTCTCCAAAATGCCTGTCATATAATGCTCGCCAAGTGGCTAGTCAGACACGCCCTCAAAAACAATGGTGGAAAAACGTTGAGCTCCAGCACACACCTCTCCTCTCCCTTCCAAACACTAGCCACACTCCAGGCAGTCAATGGACATAAAGTTGTAACTGTAATGTAGAGTCAGTGCACAGTTATAACTTTATGGTTGAAAGATACTTTTGTTACAGATTAATAACTCTCCTCTCTGAAATTGTTGCTCCAGTCCATGTAGCTAAGCTGGTAACGGGAAAATATACAGCTGAACCGAAGACGTGTTTACCGGCTAGTAGTCCTTAACTAGGAACTGCGCATGTGCAACTCCCAACAAATATCATGTAGAGGCAAGATGTATCTCTCCATAGCTAAAACGAAGCGTTCAACACAGGGTGAAAAGAGGAGCTGTAGCAATGTGCAGTATGATTAAAATATGGTGTTTTTTGAAAATTAAACCATGTAAACCTGTTCTGGTACAGCCCCTAAATAAGATTTTGAACCTGAAAATGAGGATAAAACCACCTCTTTAAGGCTTTGGTCCCATTTAAGAATACTTGGATTGGTCCCTCATATTATGAATAAGGTGGAACATATAATTTGATGAAGAAAAAGAGCTGATTTACATAATACTCTTTCTCTTTTGGCCCTAACCCTAACCCCTAACCCATCTTTTGTTTTGATTTTGACTGATGAAATGATGGAAATTGAACTACATTTGGGCTACAAGCATGCCCAAAATATGTCAGTAAGAATTTGTTTTGTATGTTTGTTTGATTACAGTAAGTTGACAAGGCTCCGCACAGCACCAGCATCGTGTATGTGTACTGTTGGGTTTGCACATGTGTTTCCCTGGAATGTAAGGTCTGAGGGAAGGCTTCCATTGAAGCTGCAAGTTTCTCTGCCCTAGTTTTAAGAAGCTGCGGTGCTCCAGCCCTCTCATTAACTCAAAAACTATTGCTCGCATACTGTGGCTCACCACTCTGCTATTTACAATCCCCATCACTTCAGTTTGGCTTAAAAAAGTGATGTGACAGAAAAGCAGGTTGCAGGCAGATCTGACAGAGCTGCCAGGTTTTTCAAAGGGATAAATCTACAGAGGACCACCACAACGTACCATGTCCTAGTTCTAAAAGGCTTAGCTACTTAGGAACATCAGTAGTAATGATGTATAATATGGACGATGATTAAGGTGAAGGCTGGCTGGTTTGTTCAGAAATGTGCACTTTTATGTAAGTAGAGCTCCTTTTAAGCTCACAGCAACCCCAAACAGCATTACAGCTAGCTGCTAGTTTTGGTTATAGGATTAAAAAATCCCTGTCTGTCTTTCTTGCAATTTCTCTCTTTCGTAGACTCACAAATCCAGACACACATGAATTTAGATGGAGGGAGAGCAAAGGAAGGCAGATTACAATACAAGTGGCACCGCTCAGTTCTTTTTAACTTGGATGCTGGTGAGCCAAAGGGCAGAGATGTCTCAGAAGGGCTAATTGGAAGTGACACAATTGTGAAGCTCAGTGGGCTGTGCCGTGTATTGTCTTCTATCACTTCGAAAGAGTGTAGAAATGTCAAGGCGAGAGGAGAGAAGAAAAAATACTTGATGATTGAAACATTCTTCTTATTAACCGAGCACCTTGCGGAGAACTAAAGATCCGCAAGGGGAAAACAGAAATCTGTGCCGAGAGATATGATCAAATCTCAGCGATTAACAGGAACAGGAAGAGGGAGTAAATGAGGCGAACAGTTGGTGAGGCAGCGCATACGAATTCACCAAATGCAAAGGAGCCTCATGGTTCATCGTCTGATGCTGCTGTCTTCCTCCTTTTGTATTTCCTTTGCTCCTATTGTAGGCCACTAATGAAGAGTGTCTTACCATAGAGGCCGGGGCCTCTAGGCTGCCACAAGTAAAACCACTTTATATCTCCCTGTAATTTATCTCAATCTCATGAAATAGATTAGAGCTGAAAGGATTTATCAGTGCTTTATCTCATTAGCTGAAGCCCAGACTGAAAGTATCATTTTCAACAATAACTGTTATTGTTGCTGGTGTTGTTGTTTACCTCTTATAATGCTGTTTTCTCCCCGTTCACTATGGGCAAGTTGTTCTAGTGCTGGTTAATTACTAATGGCAAATGCCCAGCTTTTGTCTATGGGCCAGAGAGTTAGAGAGTAGAATATGAGACTATGAGACTGTTCTGGCTCATAAATTAAAGGCCAAAGATCTCTGTGCTGCTTACACTAAACAACTACCTTTGCTGTAGTTTCTTGTCTTAGTTATGCAGCGGTGCAGACTCCAAACGACTGTGACACTGTGACGGGTGGTTCAGACATTAAAAGATTCTTGCCTTGGATTTGGTTGTTAGGGATTTGGATTCGCCCCAGCAGATCCTTGCCTTCTCTTTTGGGTGCCCCAAGCAGAGCTGTGCACAGTGGGAAGAAAGCTATTTATTCTTTAGGCATGATTTAAGACTTTATGTACCTTTTTACATACTTTATATTTCCTCTCGGCACAATAACCAGCAAACTTATCCTTTTGTGTCTCTTTTACTTTACCTCTTTCCTCTCTGCACATGACAGGTAGTTTTGTTTTGACATTTTGCTATTTGATTGCCTCACAATGACTGACAGTTTGATAGGCCCCAAGATTGGATGAGGGCTCTACTCTTTCACCAATTAAATATTATTGATAGGGACGGGAGCCTGGGGCCTGACCAAGTCAGTTTTCTAATGTGAGATAATCCTTTCACTTTATTATATTTCTGATTGGTTTAAAAGTGAGATGCCTGATCTGCTTTTGGGAAGATTTGGGAATATATCCAATATCCTACAGAAACAAACTTGTAATGGGACTTTCTCAAATGACTGTGGTGCCATTGGAGTTTAAGAAAGAAGACCAGAACAACAGTCACAGTTTCTGTGAACCCCTGTGGTAAAACAATAAGCATGAAATGCCAAATTTGGAAAAGAGCGTGGCTAAGAAAAGCAAGTACTAGAGTCAGAGGTAAATTATAAAGGTCTGTTAAAACAGGTATACCTACATTGTGCACTGTCTGATGTTCTGTGGTTTTTGTGGAGGTCAAAGTATTACATTTTTTGCCATCTACTTGATTTTCTTGCCAGCTGTCATGGGCTCTCTGCTCATTGTAGACTGTGAAGTTTAGTGATGTCCATTTAGTAATGTGAATTTCAAATGAGTTTATACCACAGACAAGTACACCATGTTGCCCTTTCAAGACAATCAATGAAATAAAACTGCTGTGATCCAAAAAACAAAGGTCTTAGAGGTTGATTTGCAGAATTCGAAGCCAAAATAACATCACTAGTCACATTAGGAGAGGCAGAGATAAAGCATTGTCCCAAAACACACCTGAAATCTCTCAATAATACTGCCTTGACCCACAGTGACTGTCAGCTGGATTGAAATCATTGATATAAATGTCAGGAGATATAGCTGCTCAAGGGCAGAGGATATAGGCTATATTTTATTGAGAAGGTGTTGCTGCGTCCTTGAAAGCGAAGGCGAAATGGCAAGACAAACAATATGATGCATGATGAGTTGTACTTTGCTTTTTTTCAGAGAGTTTGTTGGGACAGTATGTACAAGCAGAGGACTTGATATGCATTGTGGACCTAGGAGGTGTAGTGTCCCTAAGGGATGTAAAAGAAAAGAAAGTTTGAAACAGCTAAAGGCAGCATATTCCACTGCCATAAGGGAAGGTTGTGGTCAGCAGGGAATCTATAGTCTAATTTTGTCATTGTTGGGAGAAGTACTTCGAACTCTTTACAGTTTGGGAGGAATATTTAATGACATCGCTGCAGTATGTTCTAAAAGCATGCATTATTGATTAGAGACATTTCATTTCTATTACATTAAATATTACCCCTGGTTTTCACATGGATTTCTGCCTTCTGATGCTTGCATGTGAGGGATTTTAGAGTGAGATGACAAACTTGTCATTTATTTAAGATAAATTTATCCTTTGACCAGTTGCAAAGCGTATGGTTGAGATTTTTCATTTCTTCAAAGCAGAATTGAAAAAATGACTGATGAATCTGAAAGACAATCAAAGTAGAAACAGTAGAAACAGAATTCAATAAAAGTAGAGGAAACTGTATTACACTGGTTTGTCCTAACAGAAGGATATGTTTGTGGGGGGAAACAATCCGATGCATTGAGTCTAGCTTCCACATTGTGCACAAGCTTGTTGGCTGCGCTGGTTGAATACTTTCCACACCAGCCTCCGCTGAAGCTGCAGTTGATCCGAACTATCAAATTGGCTGTGTTGCCTTCTGGGAAAGCTTCTCCATCCGTTTTCTGGTTGATTGGCTCTGTTTACACCTCTGTGCCAGCATCTCGTTTGCCCACACTGG